CATAAATATGGGACTGCATAGCATAAATATGGGACTGCATATCATAAATATGGGACTGCATAACACAAATATGCGACGGCATAAAATAAATATGAGACAACATAACATAAATACAGGACTGCATAACATAAAGATGGGACGACATGAAATAAATATGAGACAACATAACATAAATACGGGACTACATAGCATAACAATGAGACTGCATATCATAAAGGTGGGACTTCCTAACATAACTACGGGACTGCATAACATAAAAATGAGACTACAAAACATAAATATGCGACTGTATACCATAAATATGACTCTGACTAATATAAATACGGGACTGCATAACATAAAGGCGGGACTGCATAACATAAATACGGGACTGTATAACATAAAGATGGGACTGCATAACATAAATACGGGACTGTATAACATAAAGATGGGACTACATAACATAAAGATGGGACTGCATCACATAAATACGAGACTGCATAACATGAATACGGGACTGTATAACATAAAGATGGGACTGCATAACATAAATACGGGACTGTATAACATAAATACGGGACTGTATAATATAAATACGGGACTGCATAACATAAATACGAGACTGCATAACATAAATATGGGACTGCATAACATAAAGGCGGGACTGCATAACATAAATACGGGACTGTATAACATAAAGATGGGACTGCATATAATAAATACGGGACTGTATAACATAAAGATGGGACTACATAACATAAAGATGGGACTGCATCACATAAATACGGGACTGCATAACATAAATACGGGACTGTATAACATAAAGATGGGTCTGCATAACACAAATACGGGACTGTATAACATAAATACGGGACTGTATAATATAAAGATGGGTCTGCATAACATAAATACGGGACTGTATAATATAAAGATGGGACTGCATAACATAAATACGGGACTGCATAACATAAAGATGGGACTGCATAACATAAAGACAGGACAGTATAACATAAAGATGGGACTGCATAACATAAATACGGGACTGTATAATATAAAGATGGGTCTGCATAACATAAATACGGGACTGCATGACATAAATACGAGACTGCATAACATGAATACGGGACTGTATAATATAAAGATGGGACTGCATAACATAAATACGGGACTGTATAATATAAAGATGGGTCTGCATAATAAAAATACGGGACTGTATAACATAAAGATGGGACTGCATAACATAAGTGCGGGACTGCATAACATAAAGATGGGAATCTATAACATAAAGATGGGACAGCATAACATAAATACGGGACTGTATAACATAAAGATGGGACTACATAACATAACGATGGGACTGCATCACATAAATACGAGACTGCATAACATGAATACGGGACTGTATAATATAAAGATGGGACTGCATAACATAAATACGGGACAGTATAACATAAAGATGGGACTGCATAACATAAATACGGGACTGCATAATATAAAGATGGGTCTGCATAATAAAAATACGGGACTGTATAACATAAAGATGGGACTGCATAACATAAATGCGGGACTGCATAACATAAAGATGGGACTGCATAACATAAATACGGGACTGCATAATATAAAGATGGGTCTGCATAATAAAAATACGGGACTGTATAACATAAAGATGGGACTGCATAATATAAAGATGGGTCTGCATAACATAAATACGGGACTGCATAACATAAATACGGGACTGTATAACATAAAGATGGGACTGCATAACATAAAGATGGGACTGCATAACATAAATACGGGACTGCATAATATAAAGATGGGTCTGCATAATAAAAATACGGGACTGTATAACATAAAGATGGGACTGCATAATATAAAGATGGGTCTGCATAACATAAATACGGGACTGCATAACATAAATACGGGACTGTATAACATAAAGATGGGTCTGCATAATATAAAGATGGGTCTGCATAACATAAATACGGGACTGCATAACATAAATACGGGACTGTATAACATAAAGATGGGTCTGCATAATATAAAGATGGGTCTGCATAATAAAAATACGAGACTGCATAACATAAATACGGGACTGCATAATATAAAGATGGGTCTGCATAACATAAATGCGGGTCTGCATAACATAAATACGGGACTGCATAACATAAATACGGGACTGCATAATATAAAGATGGGTCTGCATAATATAAATATGGGTCTGCATAATATAAATACGGGACTGCATAACATAAATACGGGACTGCATAATATAAAGATGGGTCTGCATAATATAAAGATGGGTCTGCATAATAAAAATACGCGACTGCATAACATAAATGCGGGTCTGCATAATATAAAGATGGGTCTGCATAACATAAATACGGGACTGCATAACATAAATACGGGACTGTATAACATAAAGATGGGACTGCATAACATAAATACAAGACTGCATAACATAAATACGGGACTGTATAATATAAATATAAGACAACATATCACAAATATGGGACTGCATATCATAAATATGAGACAACATAACATAAATACGGGACTAACATAAATATGAGACAACATATCACAAATATGGGACTGCATAAAATAAAGATGGGACTACACAATAAAAATACGGGACTGCATAACATAAAGATGGGACTGCATAACATAAATGCGGGACTGCATAACATAAAGATGGGACTGCATAACATAAATACGAGACTGCATAACATAAAGATGGGACTGCATAACATAAATACGAGACTGTATAATATAAAGATGGAACTGCATAACATAAATACGGGACTGTATAACATAAAGATGGGACTGCAAAAAATAGTGATAGAACATCACAAAGACAATTACGGCGTTCCATAATTTTGCGTCTTACCCTTGTCTATCAGTCTGACAACCGCCAAACGAACTGTATGACGTAATAGCAATTTCACGTGATTTACACCATTCAATCATATTACAGCTTGCGTTATAAGGATGTATTTCGATCTGTTGAAGACAAATGAATACCGCCTATTTAAATATGGAACTTGCCGTGATAACATTTTTTTGCCGCGTTATGAATGGCGCCACCACACGTTCAATTAGTTTCAATGTTTTACCTGATTTATCACCGGTGTATACTTCGCAATATCAAGGATGCGATCAAGTTGTTTATGATTGAAGTTCGACACACCAATAGACTTAACCAATCGTACGAGAGGTGAACGACCACTGCACCAGGATACAACAGTCGTGAGACGTAATCGTGCGATTATTTTCATGTTTCCGGGTGCAACAGTCGTACAACGGCTGCAACGGTTGAACGATGATGCGACCAAGTCGCACGACATATGCGTTTTGTAGCACCATATGTCGCGCGACCTAGCGACCCGTTGTACGACTACTACAACCATTGTGCGACACACCGCACCACCTGTCGCGCGAGGTGTTGGCCTATAAATACGACACGCGATGCGACTTTCTTCATTACAACCGCTGATGCCTTCTCAGACTATTGGTCGAGCAGCAACCATGTTTACAGTATGGATGGTCCAGACATTTGGGATGAAAGCTCAGGAGTTCTCGAGCTTATATTGGGGGTGAAAAAAATCGTACAACGTTGCAAAGGGGGCAAGACAGGTCTTCCAATAGTCTTAGGGTGGTACAACGGACTCGTACGACAGGACGCATCATCGTACGCCATGAAAATACTCGTGTAACACTCGTTCGGGGTCTTACGAGTGCGTGCAAAGTCGCACAACACTCGTACTGCCTGTCGTGCAATTATTTTTCACCGCGTCAGTCGCTCAAAATATCGGAGCAGCACGGTTTATTTTCCCGACCGAGATGCGACCATTTTGTCGCATCTGGATCGTACAATAAGTGGTACAACGGCTACAACGAGTCGTACAACGGGAAAAATTTCGAGTCGCAAGCCGTTGTAGTCTGTTTGGCACCAATTGTGAAAAGGGCTTAACATATAATCTACTGTCCAGATTAGTCACGTACTTTTTTGGATTTCCTGCAGATATTGCATACAAATCAATATTTGTTATCTCCTGACCCATTTGCATATAATTTCATGTGATGTCTTGGAGATGAGATTCTATTGCTTCTCAGAATAAAAAAAGTTTTACTTTGTCACACGCTTTATCCAGCAATACCGTAGAATTAAAATACTCGAATTGCTCGCTCATTTTATCTGAAAATCAGGGGTATATCATCTAAGTGCCACAATTATAAAAATGTTCACCTTGATTTGTCTCGTTTGTTTGGCGGCCAACTTGGTTTTAACAAAACCTGAATGTGTTACATTGAGCGTTTTTCCAGGCAATCTAAAATTTGCCTTTTCAGCATAATCAGCATATTGTCTACCTTTTTCAAGTCACCAAAAAGGGCGTTAAAATATTCGTTATGATTGAATAAAACGTTGATAAGGGTAATGTCATGAATTTGTTTTTGCGTATCTGTTGATCGACTTAATTAGCTGATTACCAGCGAATTGCTGTGTTATGTCTGTCATCGTTTAGGCCATGTGAAGTTTTGGACGGAACTCGACTCAGTGATTTGGAACTAATTACGAGATAACCGTAGCTATTCGGACTATTAATTCTGACAGTTGGTATTAGTAGTTATTAATGTAGTGAACGAATAATCAAAAGATATGACGTATTCAGTACTTAGTTTGATTGGCTTTATGATTGAAGGTTACGCCTTACAGTCTTTTTACTGCATTGTAATTGGTTAAGGTTTTGAAAATGAATAAAGAGAGTTTGAGTTGGTCTTGGTGAGTACAACACGACAGACGAGTCCAGTCCCAGAGAGTCTTGACACAGTCTTGGACAGAGTCTTGGGTCAGCCTTGCGATAGTCTTGGGGATTTTTCCCCAGGGCGCTGTGTCTTATAGAGTGCTCGACAAATCGACTAAGACGAGAGTTGAATCGTATTTCGTTGTGTGTGTTTATTTGACTGTAATAGTAACCCTAAATT